CAGTCCAGCAGAAAACGAGATTGAAATCTCTCGAGGGTGAACAACCCCCAGGCTGGTCAACTCATCGGCTTCTGTGTCGACTCTAGAGAGAAGAAGCTATTGGTTTGTGGAATACATGCCCCGCGGTTCGTTGTTCGAACTGTTTGCATTGCTCCTCTAGACCCCCCGGTTGGACCAGGCGAGTCCGGTTTGCGCTGCAAATAGCCGAGGCGGTTCAGTGTCTGCACACCTCTAGCCCGCCGGTGATCCACCGAGACATCAAATCGTCAAACGTTTTGATCGACGAGAGCGGGGACGCAAGGCTTGGGGATTTTGGGCTGGCCTTGAGGGGACACGTGGAGGACGTTCGCGTCAAGTGCACCCCACCGGCGGGGACGTTAGGATATCTCGATCCGGGCTACCTGGCCCCCGGCGACCTAAGCACCAAGAGCGACGTGTTCAGCTTCGGCATACTGTTGCTCGAGATTATCAGTGGCCGGCACGCGATTGATTTGAACTACAGCCCGCCTTCCGTCGTTGACTGGGCTGTCCCCATAATCAAGCATGGCGAGTTTTCAGGAATCTGCGACCACCGTCTTAGGTCCCTTTCCGACCGGTCCGTGATCCGTGCTCTCGCGGTGCTGGCGGCTCGGTGCGTGAGATCCACTGCGGCTAAGCGACCAGACATGGCAGAGGTGATCGACTGCCTGAAGAACGTGAGGAAGAAATTCCACTCGCCGCCCGGTTGGTGCAACCTGCGGCGGGTGATGACCCGATTAGAATTATCAGAATCTTCCGCTCAACACGACCCGGTTGAGAAAAGCGAGGATGTAGTAATTACGAGCAGCGCAAGGTGCGGGAGCCGGAGGAACAGGAAGGTTTCCAGCGTAACGAGCGTGGATTCTCGCGAGGGGAGCGGAGATCGCGTGATCAGATCGAGATCAATCGGGTGTTTAAGCGAAGCGAGAGTGGAGCCGGATCTCATTCTCGGCGGTGATGGGGACGAGGTGGGTCCAAGAAGAAAGAAACATGGTGGGTTGGCGTTGAAAATGGCGGCGGTGAGATTGAGGAAGTCGAGATCAATGGGAGTGTTGCAGAGCAGGAAGGCTCTGCTTCATCACGGTGGAAATGACGGCAAAGGTTATGTGTCCGACATGAAAATGCAGAGAAGAAAAAATAATACGTCAAAGTTGGTGATTACAAGGACGCGTTTGGATGAAAAATCTGAAAAAGAATTGCAAAAGAAGCCACTGGTTTCCAGTTGACTGATAAGTTAAGTTAAGCACTTATTTTGATAAGAGCTTCCAGGAGTGAATTTCAAAAGGGATTTCCTTTTTTTTTTTTTTTTTTTTAAACCAAACAGCTACTAAATCTACAACGTTGTAAGATGATTGATTCTAATTAGAATCCTGGAAAGGAAAAGAAAAAAAAAAAGAAAAAGAAAACCAAATCAATGGAAATGTTTTTTTAAATCAGGATTAATTAGGGATTGTTTGGAATTAATCAATTTAAAAAGCTTTTTTTTTTTTTTGGGTGCTATAGCTTATTCTTATGGCTTGGCTTAAACTCTGTGTTATGGAATTGTCAATTTAGCATGTTTATACATTCATTTTTTAAAAAATGTAATAAATATATATATATATATGCAAATTTTATTTTGTAAAATAAAACATCAATAATAATTTGATAAAAGGATTTGTCCGTGCAATATATACGTGTGTGTTTGGTCATGGTCGGAGCTAAAATCCAAACATATATATTTAATACCGAATTGGCTTCAG